GCGTGTGTATTACAAGGTCGCGGTTAATGCGGCCACATGTGCGTATGAGTAATTCGCGAACCAAAAACAAAAAAAATTGTCTAGAGAACGGGAGTCGCGTGCGGCGAAAATATGTCTCTGGGATCTGTCTAATTACATTGGCCAACAACAAAAAAAAATTACTGATTCTTTCTACATGGAAACTTTCTCGAGAACACAAGAAAAAAACTTTGACAGGAAATTTGTAGGGAAGTCAGACTGACTGACATCCTGGCACAAATATTTACAGATTGTAACTGTATTTATGTTTGTCCCCTGCCCACTCGACCCAGTCATTCCTCCCCTGCGGCTAGACATCGCCAGTTGTTACAGTCATGACTGGGCAGCTTGCGTTCATGTGTGCGTAAGTGGCATCACCATCAAGTCATCGTCATCGTCATCGTCATCCTCATAGTCGTCGTCGTCGTCGTCGTCGTCGTCGTCGTCGTCGTCGTGACAAACAGTTGCAATCCCCTCTAGCGTTTTGATGAGGCACGGAACCCCTTCCTGCCCCACACACACACATCCGACAAAAGTGCAAATTGGAGGAGTCACAGAGGGGCCAACAGGGGTTAAGGGTGCTATCATACTGCGTGCGCCAACAGAGAGAGAAAATGTTACCTGAAAGCGTAAAATATTTGTTCAGAAATAAAGGCTTAAAAGTTAAGGGATTCCATTTTAATTGATTTCCAAAATACAATGTAATTTAATTAATTAAAATTGAGCAATAATTATCATCATATTTTTCTGGAAAGACAAATATTTCGGGAAATATTCCCTCCTCCCCATACTATTCCTTGCAGTGTGTCCTTGACTGTTATCCTTCTCTCAAGGCACTTGAGATCCTGTTGATGCATAGAAAAGCTGCGAGCGTTAATGGCATCGCTGGAAGAATGCTGCATACTATAATTCTAATCTCTTTGTTTTTCTCCTGCATCTCATAAGAGGCTCTTCGCTCATTAAATTCCCTTTCCCGTCAGCTTTAAGGTTTTTACTTTACCAAATTGTTGGAGAGTAAACAAACATTCCTTCCAGTTGGCTGGCGAAAGCACTTATCTTAAATTTGATCAACTCTAAGGGAATGCCCCAAACCCGTAACCGAAAACTGAACCGAACCTCCCGCCAGCTGTCCATCTTCACACAGGAAATGGAGTTGGGGCATGACTTTCATCCCCCTCGATATAAATTTCACTTCCTGCTGCTGCTGCTGCTGTTTTTTCTTATTTTTTGGCTAACCATTTAGAAAACAATTTAAAATAATGCCACTGCAGAAAGGCAAAAGCAAACAAAGAAGCGAATAACGAACAAGTTTGCTTACGTGTACAAGAAAAATGCAAATAAAAGAGCGTAAAACAAACAGCGGGCAAGGAGGGTGGGAGTAGTAAACAGGGGCAGCCGAAGCAGCGCAAAACAAGCAATCAATAATCAATATGGAGTAAATATTATTTTGAAGAGCCAGTAAATAGCAACACACTCGCTGCTGGCTTAAATCAAATGCTTCGGAGAGCATTCAAAAAGATTTCCCTCTCGGCTTGAATTTCATTTCGCTGGAATTGTTGGCCATCGTGCTGCCTTGTCCGGCTCTCCAGGACTCTGGGATATTCCTTTCCTATCTGCAGCTGCGATTTGTGTGGCTTTCTGCTCTGCACTGTGGGCGTGACATAACTGGTTTATCAGTCTAGCAGAAGGAGAGGTCCTCCCACTGGACCAAGGACCATGGAGCACGGACCACAAGGCATCCCTCTCGCCATGCGGAAATCAGTTTTGATTTCAATTTCTCTTTCACCTTTCCCCACATGATGATGATGTCCTTATTTACGCCGCCATTGTTGCTGCCGTGATCTCCGTGCCAGGCCGTGTCCAGTCGAGTGTGTCCTTTTCGAAATGAAAACGTTATTCAAGCCTCCCATTAGACTGCTTTTCATGCGCAAAATTAAGTTCTTGGCAGCAGCCACTGATTGTAACTAAACGGAACACTCAAGAAAATATTGTTTTTCTTACGTTTTGTATATTAAATTTATTGCTTTAGTTAAAAATATATATTTTTGAGACATTTTAGGATATATTACCATTAAATATAAAACTTTAAGGTGTTAACATCCATCTTTAAGTAATAAAAAAATCATAACTTTCCAACTTTTGGCTTATTGAAAGATTTATCATTTCTATTTAAATATAAAATATATATCTATATAAGTTTTACAAGTAATAAATATAAAACTTATATGTATCCAAACCCATTTCTAAGTAATAAAATCACCATAAATCCTGAAACTATTGGCTTATTGAGAGTCATATCTTTTCTATTGTGGAAAAGCCCTTGAGTCTTGTACCTTTTTTTCCACTCCACACCATTCCCTTTCTTGTGTAATCTGTTAAGCTGTCAGCCTGTGTGCGTCTGAGGCAACCACAAATGGCATTGGCATATTATTCCTTGGCATTGTTTGCAAAAATTATAGCATACATCTGCGGGCAACCGGCAGCTGTCATTCATTAATCATTCCATTTGTCACCTCCCCACACGCAGGACGACGCTGTCCGGGATGAATGGGTAACCATATATATAGCCACTATATATTCGCAATTGATATAAAATTGTTTCCGCTGGGCAGCAGCGGTTTGTATCAAATATAACGATAAAACGACCAACCACGAAGATTGCGTGGAGTGTTATGTGGTGTATATACCATATATATTCCTGCATAACGGCGTTCATCAAGCGGCAATTAATTTATATAATCGAATTATGGCACGGCACGATTTTAATTAATATTTTTGGTCATTTGTATTACAATTACATCAGTCAAACGAGCCAAAATGATCAATCAATTAATTTCAGCTCCATTTGACATGGAGCGTCACATGATGAGCAGCACTCATTTTTGCTAATTCTAGTTTACCGCCTTCCCCCACCCAAAAGAAGATTCAATTTCCCAGAAGAGTTCAAAATTTAATTTGCGCCACTTGAGAACTTAATTTGGCAAACAGCAAAAGCACCAGCAGCCTGGATAAATTAACCTTTGCCTCATTTGCAACCACCCAAAAAAATAAAGAAAAATAAGGAAGAGAAAAGGAAAATGGAAATTTGCAAATCAAATTACTAAGCTTCCTCACATTAGCCCCTCTTTTCGTCTCGGTACGTTTATTTTCTCAGTGCACGGAGAGAAATAGTCCAGTCTATGAGAGTCCCGAATTTATTTACACTTAGATTTCTGCAAAACATTTGTAATTGTGGAAATAATTAATGATCTTTTGAGTATTCTTGAAAAGAATTTTACTACAATTTTATTTTTATTTTGATTAATTTATAAATAATTAAGAAGACTCTCTAAATATTTTGTAATCTTAGGAATTGTGTTAATTAAGAATTTCTTGAAAACAATCTTAGTACAATATTTTAGAACTTGGATTTATTTAAAGTGTGTCGAGATTTTAAATATATACCAACCTTAGTAACTAAACCATAATATTTATTGAAATTTACATATACTTTCTGTATAAAAAAATTTATAAAGAATTTTCCTCAGTACCCTTGAGAGTGTATTCCTTCGTATCTCCGGGTGTGTTTCCATCTATGCATATTTAAACAGTCTGCTGGCTTTGCGGTTTCTGCGCCTCATGGAACGTGTTAATTGCAGCCACATTTCGCCCATCACGTTGCCACTGCCTTTCGCTTGCCACCCCCTCCGCTGAAACATTTTCCGTGCGCTTTTCCGCTGCCGCTGCCAGCTGCAGCCGCCGCCTAACAAATGCAATTAAAATCTTTGCGCAAAGAAATGGCTGTTGCCAGAACAGAACGAGATATGGTGGAGTAGGTACCAGCGGGGTGACAGATAACATATTGCCCACGTCCGAGAGAAATGTGCATGGACAAGAGCAAACTACAAAAAAAGATTTTTACACAAAAAAAAAAGGAGAGCAAAGAATAAATGACATTTATCTGCACTTCTTTGCTCAGGCCACGCTCTGGTCATACAAATCTAATTTGGACCGCACACGAAGGCAGGGAAACTGCTCCAAATACATTTTAGATTCGCTTTCCCCTAACTAATCCGGTCAGTTGTCCCTCAGTTCTGCGGTCTGAGCTTAGAACCCTAGAAGTTTTCTTATGACCATCCGATGAGCTCTAGCAGTTGGCAATTTTGGTTTATTTATTGCTGACATTAGGACTTGATTTTACGGGATTTTCTTAGAGCTTTATTGTTGAAATTATATTAAGAAAATAATGTGTTTATTAGGAATTGAATGGGTAAATAAATAACTAAAAGAAATTACCTATAAATCTTTGATTGAAATCTTTAAAAAGGATATGATATAAAATGTAATATGTGAAATATAACCAGTTTATAGAGCTAAGAAACTATATTTTTATTTACCCTTTAGGGTATTCTTTTAGCCTTACTTCCTGTCAAGTTGTATTTAACATCGCCTCAAGTGCACTTTTTCCCGCCTCCCCGCCTACTCCTGGTAATTAAGCTGCAAGTGGCAGCTGCCTCTCGAGGCGTTGGCCAAGTGGTAACTATTCTCAACACGAAGTGGACTATATATATATTTTCCGGCTATTCACTAATCGGCTTAGGGCAGCCACTCGATCCACACAACCACAACATAAAGCACAAAATACACACAACACAAACACCGTCAACATCCTGTGTGCATCATGCAATATTTAATCACATTAGTTGTAACGGGCTAACGGTCGTATACGCAACAATTTACAACTCGCATTAATTATACGTCATGTTGGACAAAAGTCTTACCTCTCTCCATCGTTCCCTCTATTCACAGGCAGGCGCTCCTTGGTAATTAATTATTAATGCATCTGAAGAGAAGGCAGTCCGGCAAGGCTGTCCTTGGCAGCGACACTGCTGCACTGAATGACGGCCAGCAATCACAATAGACGATAGACGATAGCAACAACAACTGGTGGCAGTGGTGGTGGTAGTGCTGCTGCTGCTGCTGCTGCAACAACTACTGCAACAATGGCCAGTGGCAACAATGAAACTGCGCCGCTCTACTGCGGCAGCGGCATGGATAATTTCCATACAAGGTAAGCGACTTTAGCCAATGTCAATGTCGAATGCCGGCGGGCAGGAAAATGCGCCTCAAGGACAGGGACAACGACATCGACGACGACAACGACAACGACAATAACAGTCAGTGCAGACATATACAAGCCAACAAACAGGACGAAACAACAACACCATTAGCCGCTATGGGGACGACAATACGGCGAATCGTTCAGAAATCGATTATCGCCTCGTCACCCCGGCCATTATCCACGTTTTCATTTGATTTATGCACTGAGACACAAAGTACAAAAATATGTGTAAAATAAGCAAAAGAAAAATGCATTTCCGCTACTTTTGCTACTTTTAGATCTATTTCAAAGTGTTTTAAGATCCCCAACAATTTCTAAGAGCAATAAAATATATCACATTTGATTCCTTAACCTACCTTCAAGTATTTCTTTCACTGCAAACAATTTTCTCGGACGATTAAATGACACAAAAAAAATAACATCAGCAAAGCAGAAAACAGATTTGTCAACAGCAAGGTCAACAAATGATGGCTGAAATCAATTTAATTGACCATTTCCTATGGGCCATCCCTGTGTCCATCTGCTGCACCCATAAAAAAAACCAAACCCCGGGGCTACAAGTATTTATATTCCTTGCATGCCAAAAGGTCGTAAAAGGTGATGATTAAAAGAGGCTCTAAAAAACTTTATGGAGGTATAGAAAATTCAATTCTTGGCTTCCTGGCCGAATCATCAGGCTGAAATTTTCATAAATATAAGGGGTAATAAATGTGAGAGGTAATCATAAATAGTAAAAACAATTGGGTAATAAAATTCAATCAGGGTCGAGCCTATAATGTGAACAAACATTGATTAAGGTGAATTTGCTGACTAAAACATAATTCTAGGACATTGGGGAGCAAAACAAGGTCTCTCCTAGAATAATGTTTTTTATTAGGAAAGGAGTAAATCATTAATGAAACCTTATGTGCTTGAATAATATATTAACTTTAAACAGTTTTTGTATTTAAATTATTTATTTTATAATTAAACTTTTGCATACTTCTCTTGATTTTCTTTTAAACTTTTCCCAAAATGTTGGGAAACTTTGAAATAATTAACCTTTAATAGCTTAAAGTGGCAATAAATTCATTATTTATTAGCCCAGTTAAGCTTGAGATTTTTTGTGACTTGGGCCATAAAGCTCCCACGCTGTCTTTTGTCCTTATTGATGGACCATAAAAATGTTCTTTGGTTTATTAGGTCACTTGTTCCCCGTGCTCAGTTTCATAGATGAAGAATATTACCCGATTGGGTGTACATAAATCATTGATGATCATTTATTTGCCGTGATTAAGCTGGTTGCTGTGTGAACTGCAAATTATTCACTCTACTGTTACACAGCACTCTGGCCATTCTGGCTTAGCTGTGTGTTGGCCTGGCCAAATGCTTTTAGTTTTAATTAGAGCCAGTCTGGGCAGCATTAATGGCCACAAAGTGGCTCGCCACAGCATCCCTGAATGCCTCGGCGCTGGGCGAGTCGCTTTAATTAAAGGTAGCCTTAGCGGTAGTCGGAGTTTGAAAGATGACTGTATGGCAATTAGATGTGTATCCAACACTTGGCCATTTACTTTTGTGTCAAAGACGTGCCAAATTGCTGGCGACGTCTTTTCCACCGAGGGCGACACTTGACGCTGTCACGCCCCAGACAGACAAACCACCCACCGAGAAGCCCAGTCTCTCTCAAAGAAAAGCCCTAAAAGCCAACCCACCCATCCATACATTCGTCTCCAAGCGCCACTCAAGCGGCAAACAACAAGAGAAGAAACGAGGGATCGTGCCAAAAACATAAAGAGAAGAATAACTTTTTGGCACAGAAGCTGGAAATACTCTTGTCTTTAAGACTATATAAAGTGAAATATACATATATGTATTGTATAGATTGGACTGTCTTTTGTGTCCACAAAGATTAGTAAATTTCATATATGTTAGACCCAAAAAAATTATCTTATTAGTGATATTTCCTTATTGAAGGTTTTCCCCTGGATTCATTGATAAATCTATCTAAAAAACCTATATCCCTAAATCACAATTAAAACAAACTCTTGAGCAAATGAACACTACCCAATTCAAGGATATTTTTTTGGCAAAAAGTGGAATTCAAACGCCAATGTGTCACACAGTCCCACATCGAACGAAACCAGCACACATTATATAGCGGCAAGGCGCAAAAGTGCAACCCTTCCCCTGGCGGCAACGTGACGTATACGCAATATAAATGGCAAGCAAGAGAAAGCGAAAAAGCAAAAGGAAGGAGCAAAAGTTTTTGGCGAACACAAAAATAAATAACGAATTGGAAGGAAAACCCGCAACAAAACACGCACAAAACAAGCAATTAACATAAATAATAAAGAACGCACGAAGTCAGCCCCTTTTGTCAAAGCCAGCGAGAAAAGCGAGAGACGCGAAAAAGGGCCGAAAAGCCAGAAAAACCGAACACCGAAAAATGTGGAAAATTGCTTTTGGCCGCTTTTTGCGGCCGTGTATTCCCCAAACAAATGAAACTGAGGCACATACTATATGCCACTGACTAACTGAGTGACTGACTGTTCACGTTAAAGGCTTCTCATTCTGATGGACAGGCAGGTGGCTGCTGCGGCTCCCAAAAGGTGTGTGAGGTGTGTGTCTACGTGGCCCCGAAAAACAGCGAAATTGAAACGCTTTCCGAAACGCCGGGCGACACTTTTCGGGCAACCCTCATCTCGGCGCAACTCTTGGGGAATTTACAACTCCATTCATCAAATTCACAAAAACAAACTTTCCGAGGCTGCCACACATTCCCCTTCGAGTTTGTTGTCGCTGGATTTTACCTTTACCTTGGTCAAAATCCCAGACTCTGTGTCCCCTACTCCAAGAATTCTTCGCTGAGTCTAATTTATGGCCTTTGATAATCCATGTTGATGAATGGCAACGGCAGCAGCAGCAGCAGCAGCAACGACAACGACAACGTCGACGACATGAATGAAGTTGAAGTTCTGGAATTGTTTTGGACCACCCGTGCCCTGCCCTAGAACCAGGCTTGCGGCTCAAAGTTATTGGCCCAGAAATCAGGCAGAGTCAGCTGTCGAAATGAACCCCCAATAAACCAAACAAGCTAGGCAAATAACCAAGAAATGTTACACAGGAAAAATGCATATCATTTTAGGTTTAAAGGTGACTGATTGATATGGTTTAGGGGTTTATTTTTTAGGAGAGTTCATTAAAAATATAAAAGTTCTTCTACAATATAACAGAATTTAAACTAAAAAGTTAAATTCTTGTTACACTAAAGTATCCTTTACATTTTGCCTCTGTGCATAAATCCTTTTGAAAGATATAACTACAAAATCGAAAGTTTGCTGCCAAGTTCTTCGACATTGTTTTTGTTTTCTTGTTCACCACCAAAAAAGATAATAGAGACATTTTTCCAACTCCCTCAAGCTTATTTCCTGGCTAGTGGAATGGTTTTTCAGTTGAATTTTTGGACTAACATTCGTGGAGATTGCAACAGGGTGTGTAATGGAAATTTTGTAGCCATAAAAACCATTAGCAGGAATTTCACTAAAAACTTGCCCACAAATTTGGCTTAGATTCTTCAATAAAACTGTCATTCCGGCCCTAGAGTCCCTTTGGTTACAGTTTTCTAAATTTTTTTCGGAGTAAATGGGAAAATTCGTACGAAAGCTATAAACAATTTAACTAAAGTCCCTGGCACTGACAGGAACAGGAACAGGAACCGAAAAAAAAGGAGCAGGAGACACAAACGTGTCACTGGGGCCGGGTGTAGTGTGTGGAGCTGCCTGCAAGTTTATTAAACATTTTTTTTTTTGCTGCCAGTCAACCGCAGGGCTAAATGCAGGATATACTCGCAGGACGCAGGATGCACACGATTCACCCCCGGAGGCGTTAGAGTGTCGTGTTTGTGGCTCTCGCCTCGCATTTTCCTATATAAATTTTATGCTAAGTCTAATTTGTTGGCTGCAACTTGCACAAAAGGCAAAAAAAAAAAAGAAGCAGGCAGCTGCTGCAGAGGGAAAACAACAACAACTGGCTTAAAAAAAAGGCCAAAAGGCAAAGACCAAACGAAAGCGTTGAAAGCTGCTTCGGGTTATCCAGGGAAATAGGGTGAGACACTGGGAAAAACAAGAATTTTTTGTGAGAAATTATGAAGATTCTAACAAAATTTTTTGTGTAAACAATTATACAAATTTTTCTTCAATCTGTTAATAGAAATTTTCTTAAATTTAAATAAATAAAATAAAAGAGAATTATATATACAAAAAATATATATTTTTAGGGACCAAGGAGTGAATTTTTTCCTCCTTTTTTGTTTAGTGTTTTGTGGCAAATTCCCCAAAAACTTTGAGCGGCTGCCCGCCGGAGAAATTTGAATCCTATGCCCCTTTTTTCCCCCTTTCCTTTTGATTATTTTTCTCCTCTTTTTTTGGCTAACGAAAAACTAAACAAAAGCCGGTAAAATGTTTATTCCAGAACGGGAGAAGGAGGTGGAGATGTATGGCCCATGTGGGCGTGACTGGGCTTTCGCCTTAGGCCTCGGTGAGTTTATTGCCTCAACTGCTGCAAATGCTGCTGCTGTTTGCCAAGTCAACGGAAATGGCTTTTGGATGGTTTTATTGCCTGTTGTTTTGGCCTAAAAGAGAGAAAGAGAGAGTCTCTAAACGTATAGAATAACAAATTGGTTAGGGCTAACTAGAGCATAATAACCGAAACATAATTTGCCAAATGCCTTCCACCCACTCACTAGATTTCGATTTGTGTCTTCATTAGGCTTGAGGTCTAAATCTACTCCTAGAAGATTACTTAAACTAGAATTATAGGCTAAATGAATTATTTATTTTAAGCCAATGCAAAATACTTAAAATACATTTATTTCGTTTCAATGGCCTCCAGAAACTACTCTTCTTAAATATTAACTAATTTAATTAATATATTTTCTTCTCTTGCAGCTACAAAAACATGCATGGCTATGTCTCCCTGGTGGTCTGCATCCTGGGCACCATAGCCAATACGCTGAACATTATAGTGCTAACCCGCAGGGAGATGCGTTCCCCAACAAATGCCATACTCACTGGACTGGCCGTGGCCGATCTGGCTGTAATGCTGGAATATATACCCTACACCATACACGACTATATCCTCACGGATAGCTTGCCACGCGAGGAGAAGCTCAGCTATAGTTGGGCCTGCTTCATCAAGTTCCATTCGATCTTTGCCCAGGTTCTGCATACGATATCCATTTGGCTAACAGTAACTCTGGCCGTTTGGAGATATATAGCCGTGGGTTATCCCCAGAAAAATCGGGTTTGGTGCGGAATGAGAACAACTATTATTACCATAACCACCGCCTATGTGGTATGCATATTGGTGGTTTCTCCCTCGCTTTATCTGATCACAGCCATAACCGAGTATGTGGATCAATTGGATGCCAATGGCAAGGTTATTAACTCCATACCCATGACACAGTTTGTGATTGATTATCGGAATGAGATAATGATGAGTGTTAGGGCGGCGGCTTTGAATGCCACGCCCCCGAATCCATTGGCTTTGAATGAAACTCTCTGGTTAAATGTGAGTTCCTTGGTTACATCAACAACAACGACTACTATTGCGCCACCGGTATCTACCCCCTCGCCGGTGGTAAGAAATGTCACGGTATATCGGTTATATCACAGTGACCTGGCCCTGCACAATGTTTCGCTGCAGAATGCCACCTTTCTTATATACGGGGTTGTGATTAAGCTGATACCCTGCATAGCACTAACCATACTATCGGTACGTCTGATCCTAGCCTTGCTGGAGGCCAAGCGTCGCAGGAAGAAGCTCACTAGCAAACCGGCTCCGACTGCCTCGAGCAATGGCACCAAGTCCGTGATCAATGGGAAGGCAGCGGACAGGCCAAGGAAAAATAGCAAAACCCTTGAGAAAGAAAAGCAAACGGATCGCACAACCAGGATGCTGCTGGCGGTTTTGCTGCTCTTCCTCATCACTGAGTTCCCGCAGGGCATTATGGGTCTGCTGAATGCCCTCCTCGGCGATGCCTTCTTAGTCCAATGCTACCTTAGACTGAGTGAGTTTGAGCTTTTTATATATTTTAGTTTTTTAAATAATCTTAACAGTAAAGTCAATGCCAACGTATAACCCTCTCATTTCCCATCTCCTGTTTTCCCCTTTAGGCGACCTGATGGACATTTTGGCCCTCATAAACTCCAGCATCAACTTCATTCTGTACTGCTCGATGAGCAAACAGTTCCGGACCACCTTTACCCTACTCTTTCGTCCTAAATTTCTGGACAAGTGGCTGCCAGTAGCCCAGGACGAAGTGGCAGCCGCTCGAGCAGAACGATCAGCGGTGGCTCCGACTGTCCTGGAGAAGGGTATACGCAAACCCCAAGTGGTGACTGCCACCACCACCACGAACATCACGCAGGTGACGAATCTGTAGCATAGGAATCGTGGCCACCGTGGCAATCGCAGGACTCTGCTTAGTCGTCTGCTGAGTGTCCTGAAGCGACGCAGAAGAGAGTCCGGGGCAGGAGGAGGTCCTACGGCAGGACCCGTGGCCAGCGTAGAGCCGGCAGCGGATCCTTTGGCCTTGCAATTCCAGGCGATTGTCGTGGTTGTGGACAAAGTGAGCGGGGCAACGGATCATCAGCTATATACGGCTGACCAAGGTCGAACTGTGACGTAGTTACTGGGTTAAAAAGGAAATCCATGATAATAGATTTGTTGTAAGGAAATCCATGTAAAAACTGAACTAGTTGTGTAAGATAACCCATTATAAACACGGAGCATTGTAAAACCTAAAAATAACACTAGACTGCAAAGTTTGACATACTCTGGAATTGGAAGTAGAGTTTGGTGTGCTAATTTGTTCTAAAAAACATTTGTTGTTTGTCGGAGTTTAATGGTTTTATAATTTCTTTTAAAAAATTTGAAGGTTCTTTTAGTAAATTCCCTAAAAAACTTCGCTACCTGAAAGCTACAAAATATAAAGTAAAAAACATTAAAAATCAAAAATAAATTGAATTAAGTAATATTTATATTTGTTCAGAGCATAAAAACTACCGACATAGTGTGCCCTGCCAAATATGTTGTCTGTTTTAAGGAACCTATGGGGCACATACTTGCTTTTGTTTCATTATTAAAACCGTACAGCTACGAACAGGTTATGGGCCCAGACCCAGATCCCAAAAAAAAAAAAACTAAAAACAAAACAAAAACTTTTTTGGTCTATAAAAAAAATGGAAAAGCAACAAAACTCGTTGGTGTGCGGGAAGAGAAAAGTGAAAACAACTTTCGAAACGGACATTCGCATCGCGTTTAAAAAAAAACAAAAAAGCGAACGAGAAAAAAAAAGTGAGTGGGAATATAAACAATTAATAATGAAAAACTAAATGGAAACATTTATAGCACTAATAAGGACTAAGAATGAACTTGAAACGTAGTTTTCTCTACAAACATCTCCTTTTGCGAAGGATTTAGCCTGCCCCAGGCATTAATTCCTTTCCAGTCGTTCCATGCCTGGATGCATCTTGGTATACTTCTTCATATGAAGGCCTTTTTCTCCCTCCCCCATCGGTACTGATGTAAATGAAGACATCGTAATAATCGGAAAAAGAATTATAAAATATCTTACAAAATGTTTACAAATATTCCAAAAATATTGAAAACTTTCGAAACTACTATTTCTGTGACTGTCAGCCTTGATTGTAAATAAATACTGCCGAAACGTATATGAATTGTAAAGGTTTAAATTTTTTTTTTTTAATTTTACACTGCTCCGACTGGGCTTAAATGAAGAATTTTATTATTGGAACTGAAAAAAATTTAGAATAAAACCGAGGAAAATTTAGTTTTACCCAAACTAAAATCTTAAAACATTCTATTTAAACCTTAAATCTGGTTACAGATTCGCACCAAAAAATACTTTCAAAGTCCAGAGAACACATTCTGTGTTGGCTGGTGTTATAATAAAGCTCAGGCTCATCACTCATACGCACCATTGGCTTTGCCTCTACTCGTCTTCACAGTCACAAGTGGAAGCTGTAAAAATATTGCGTATACATTTTCACATACATAGTATATATCTACACGTTTCATCTCTGGTGTATATATAAATCAAATCATAAATTGAGCTTTGCAGCTTTTTTACAATGCAGTTTCATGTTGATTACATCTGAATAAAGTATGCAATGCACGTGCTCACTCACACACAGAACTACGAATTTTTGGCAACGATTTAAGCAGAATATATATACCTATATCTATAGAAAAGATATCTTGTACATATATAGCCAAACAAGTTGATGTCCGTATGTATATATTAATAGCAATTAAATTTAATTGTATGCAGAGAAATGTCTTGCAAATCTTTTGATAGCCTTAGTTGAGCCAATTTTGAATGCAACCATTGGATGGAATCATATATGTAGAATCAGTTGCAGTGAACTAGGTTATACTTATAATGAGAAATTCTTTACGGAATTAGATTTGGGCTGTGAACAAAATTATATTATTTGTATTTAAGTTGATCTCCTTTTTGTTTGGAAATTCACACACGTTTTGTTGGGAATATTTTAAGCCAGTTTCACTGCAGCTGAATGAATGAAAATGATCCAATGAAACAATGCATAAATATTTGGGCCTTTTTTCATTTGTCAAATAAAATCGCAAGGCCCTGCGACAGACAGACAGCTGCTTAAAATGACAAATGGCCAACACGAGCGAACGAATAAATTATGACGATTGAAGTATTTGCAATTGAGCCCCGACAAATACTTTTCAATCTCATTAATAATGAACAGATAAATCAGCCGCAAGAACTACAGATACTTTGGAACATATGTGGTATCTATAAATAATATAAATAAGTACACAAAATACACACAAAATACAGATGTAAATGTAATAATTTGTTGCTTTCACAACGATTGATTTCAGCTGTAAATTGAGAGAAATTACTCGAATAACTCTACATTTAATTAAATTATAATGTTGCCACTTTGCTTACTGAAAGTGAGCATTAATAATAAATATAAAATAGATTAATTGTTGTTTGTTATACATTCAGTTAAGGATAAGTGTGACTTAAGCTACTCAATTACCAAAATGAGAGCAAGAAAAATGGTTTATTAGCGCGTAATTAAGTTTTTATATAGCTAAAAGTTAATGAAAGGCTCACTGAAAGGTATTAAGATTTATGCAAAAAAAAAAAACATTAAATAAAAATTAAACTAAATCTATGAAAAGCTAAAAAAGGTGTTTCATTACATATTTTTTTTAGACAATTTATACAAGTTTTTCAATTATTTTTAATTTAGCCCAGCAACAGACCGAATATAAAGTTTACTGACAACATATTTTAGCCAAGTTTAATTTGCATTAGCCAGAAAATATGGCGAACCGCAGGGAAAAGTTCAAAATACAAAACGAACCAAAGAAGAAAAAAAGAGTCCAAAAACAATAAGCATGAGAAATGGGCCACAAAAGTTTATGGCCCACAAAGCAGCTACCAGAAAGAAGTGGTGCTACAAGATGAGAAATGTTGGCTGCCAACTTTTTGCTGTAGTTCTTTGAGTAGTTGTGGAAATAAAAGATTACTTGAGATTGCAATGGCGCTGATAAGCCATGGAAATGGTTGTCTAAAAGACAAGTTAGTTGCGGTCAAGACTCGAGACGCTAGACTCACACAGTAACGTTTCACTCTTGGCTTTAAGGCCGAGTTCAGGGGAAATACAATTCAGTAACTTTTCAACTTTTTCAGGAAGGAAAGAGAAAGGCATTGAGTTTTCTCGCGGATCCCTTTGACCGTTATAATGGGCTTAAATATAATAATGATAATTATCCTTAGAACCCTTTCATTATCTGGAAGCAATACGGTAAGTACGGTCCCTTTCCGGCTTCCTCCCTTTTTCAGGCGTCCGGCTTATTGAATTATTAACCCATTTAAAGGTTGGTTCCCCTCTCTAATCCGTGTAATTAACTCAATTGACGCCGACCTGGGCTCAACTTGAGCTAATTTCTGGCCCAACTCCCGAAGCCAACCGATAAGTTTACAATTTTGTAATTAATGCCCTCCTTTTGACAGCTACAATTGGCCACGCCTTCGCCGCGGTAATTCGGGTATCGTTAATTTGGCCGTGCTCAATTAAATATGAATTCGCTGAACTTGGCCTTTGAATAACTAGACTCTCTCCTGCTCTCCTTTGGCCAGGCCATAAAATGCAGCAGGGCGGGACCAGCTTGCGGCACTCATAAACACATTTTATCGAAGGCAGTTAGGCCAGAGACCGTGGCGGAGGTGGAGGCCAAAAAATGGCCAAAACTTTGGCCATTATTCGAACGTGCTGCGACTGGGTAAGCCAGAAATAAAAGCAATTCGATTGCAGGCCTAGAAATCAATAGTCTGGCTGGGAAAATCATGAAAGAATGCACGAGAATTGAGTTAAATTAAATCAAATTAAAGTTTGGGGGGAATTTAATTTATCTTTGCAAAAGTAGCAGCTGCTGAATTCTGATTAAACAAGGCCATGAAAAATAATATAAAGTTAATAATAATAATTATAATTATATATATTATTCACCTGTTGAGCATACACACATACGCTAAACTTCTAGCGCTGCGATTGCTACTGGCTCTCCTTCAAACTTTCCGCATGAAATTGATTGAAAAACTTTGCACAGAGCAAACTCCTCCTCAAAGGGTTCGGGTTGGACCCTTCTTTGCTGCAACATCCCACCACTTCTCGCGTGGTCGTCTCCCTTTTTGGCAACTGGCATCGTGTGTGCATTCTCTACAATCCATTCTCCTATCTTCCAGCTGCACGTGCCAGTGGAGGAGAACACTTGGCCCAAAAGGTCTAACAGGAGCAAGGAGCCCTATCCCCCATCCCCACTCTCCAAGCTCCCATTTGCATAATGGATTTGAGTACAATTAGCCGGCAGCTGCCACTGCCACTGACATGACTTCGAAACTGGCCCCAGCATTGGGTCTCTTTCCTGATTTCTCTGCATAATTGCTGGCAATGTGGATATTTCTGGCAATAACAGTCGTAGAAAAGAAAGGCAAGGAAATTTATGGCAGCTAAAGTTGGTTTTTTAGCTGCAATTTCATGTGGGTTGTATTATTCTCAGAAGCTTTAAATGATCTCATATTATTTTAAAATGGGTTAAACAATTACTTTATAATTATCCTTTTAATTTAATTTGTAATTTTCATTGCAGTTTCTCATTTCTACTTTATGTAACCAATAAAAGCCAACACTGATTCATGTAGCCATGAACTTGATGCGGAAACCCAAGCCACTGACAGCAGCAGACACACATTGTAACATTCCAACACTGCAACTGCAAAGGGACACAATTTCATTGCGAAATGAAAGGCAAAAACCCAAAAACCGCATCTTATGTGCCTGGCCTTTAGCCCTCTTCGCGAGGAGCGCTGCGAGGAGAGGTCCGCTTCATTAATACCTGGCATCGTTTCCCCTAATTGCCGGCGCTTTAAAAATACTTTTCGCAGCTTGAAAGGATTGTGGACTTTTAGCAGGCACTGTTTTGCAAATCCTTGCAGCTTGCCAGGCCACCCGACACCCGACGTCATGCTGTTCCCTGCTCTCTCTGAAGCTGCAGCCACTACGCATCTAATGAGCCTCATTAACGTAATTACGTGATGTTGGCAATAACTGGCAAAAATCCTTCCCTCTTGATTACA